ACTACTCCGATTCAAACGACTAAGCCGATGATCACTCCGGCTACTATTCCGGCAAATGTGACCTATATTATTGAACCGTGACTCTACAAACACATGTGACCAGTTAATATTGATTTTTAGTCTCAACATTTTTATAGGTCACACCGGTCATAGACTACCAAATTAGTTGGTCACATATTTTTTTCACAGTCACATATTATATAATTTTTAGGTTACAGATAACAAAATGGTTGGCCACAGATTATATTTTTAGTCACAGCTTACCTGTTGTATGGTAAGTCACAACACAGGTTACAAGTCACAATGTATGGTTGTTTGTTTATAATGATTGATAACATGATAAGACTCATGTCTCACATTTTTGTTAATAATCACGGGTTATTTTCGAATGGTCACACACAGGTCACAAAATATTTTTGGGCATGGCTCAGGTTCTTGTTGATAGTCACTAGTTTATTTCAAATGGCCACAGCACAAGTCACAAAATATTTTTGCCCATGGCTTAGGTTTTTGTTGATAATCACAGCATAGGTCATAGAATATTTTGCACATGGCTCAGGTCACAGTATTGGTCACATAGACTATACAGCACCACCTCACCACCACCACCACCACCACCACCACCGTCTTATATGCCATAACCCTACTCCTCCGCTGCTACCACAGCCGTCAACTCACGACAACCACCATCACTAACGTTGCCAACATAGCCTCACTGCCGCTACCACCATAGAAATTATTAGATCCACAAAACCACCTAAACATGATCACACCATGGAAACCCTCAACAACAAATAAAAATTAGCCAAATCTGGTGTGGCTGCCATCTTCACGCCACCTCAAATCCACAAACACAATGACCACATCCACCTTAAATCCACAAATACAATGATCACCACACTGCATAACCCACCACCACCTCAAATCCACAAACACAATGACCACCTTCATATCTGTTGCAGTCTGTGGAAGCGGAGACACGAAGTTCTATTGCACAAAATCGAATAGGAATTGAAGCCTTTACAATCAAAAAGCTGGGTAGACATAGTCGATGAGCCTGATTCGGAGCAAGAGCAAGTCGGGTCGTCTGATGGAAAATGGAATAGGAGATAGTACCTTAGTGATTTGTGGTTGTGACCTCAACAATCGGAGCTGGGTGGTGTTGCAATGATTGGGTTGGGGATCAATTGTTTAAACGAGTCATTGTTTGGTCAAATCTTTAGCAAACATGCTAATTCTTAGAGAATTCGAGTGATGATTTGAGGGAAGCAGCCGATAAAATACTATGGGGAGCAATACCGGCGAAAAACCACCGCTGCAGAAACGGCGTCAAAGAGACGCTGCGCTGCTCAGAGTTGCGCATCTGCCGTAAAGGCATCGCTCTTGCACTGTAGCAGCATGAAAGCGCGAATGCGCTTTTGATGCGTGGAGTAACGCCGGAGGTCCCCTATCCCGGGATGTGCTGTGTTGACGGAGAAGAGAGAAGGGTTGTGAAACTCCACGTTCGTCTCGTCGAACGCTACGATTTGCGGTGTTGATGTCAACAACAGCGCAGACTGCTGTGAGTGCTGCTCGGACGTGATCTTTCGATGTCGATCTTTCGGCTCTGATGCATTGCCCGTCGTGTGAGGGGGAGAGAGAGAAGAGGGGTCAGGGGTGAGGAAGAGAGAGAAAATA